GATTGGTTATGCAATACTACCTAATTTATCTTTACGAAACGAGAACGCATTTCGAAATTTTGGTTGACATTTCATGAGTTAGCACATCTACTGTAAATGCTAAGATCAAACTCTTCTTCTGACTTTGGAAGCCAAAGCAAGAAGGGCTTGGATTATTCGTATAGTACTATCATTAGGACACACTTTTCCGCCAATGAAGGGCCAGCAGCTTGGTGGACTTTACAGTAGGATAGTATCATGGCGTGTTTTGATTTAGGATAAAATAGTTGGCCAGTAGCACTTCTTACATACGGATTAGATACCGGACAATGTCCTATCCAACAAAAACGTCTCTACAGCGCTTAACACTTCCGGACTTTTCAAAGGCAGCCATCCAACGGTCTTCCCATATCTCCTTAGAGACACTTCTCTGCCACAAGCACAGTCGTCATGCATCGTAAGCAAACCACTTTTCAATTCATATTCAATATCGATATCGTCGCGTAATTCATTGGCAGGCTGAGAAACGTAATCTCGTTAGCTAATGATTCACAACCGTGCATTTGAGTCCTATTCTCTTCCTAGTAAACATGACGTTCGAATCAGGCACTTCTGGAATGCGCAGTTGCTGGAAGCTGTGATTTGTTAGGCTGAAGTTTTTAGATCCCACATGAATCCATAACCAAAGGCAGTGTTAAAAAACGGGTTGTAATTAAACTAGTGTCGCAGTATTTCTGGGATATTGAAGTTCAACTGTCGTTACAGTAATTGTTCACTGTCTGTCTCACCGTATGGTGGGCACAGGGACGATGACTTATGAATAATTATGATGACATTGGACCTGCAACGCACTAACCATACCCTCTCCTCCCTCGCCGTTCTGAGTCCAAGATCAAACCAGAGTCAAAGAGATCGCAGACAGGAATCAGCACACTGGACCGGGTTTCCGCCGGAACAAAAAGAGTGGCTCAGACCGTAACTGAGTGGAAGGGATATGAACGTAGCTGGAAGAACATCCTCTATTTCTTACATAACTGTTTTACCTACCACCTTTGTGTGTCCTTTGCAGAACCTCAAGCCAATTTCCCCTGCTGTAATGCCTTCCCTTAGAAGGAATTTAGTGGCGGGTCAAATCTGAGAGCATATCAGAGCTGGCAAATAAGCTCCCACTAGGTTCATGACAGTGAGCCGAGTCCCTAAGTCAGTGCTAATTGTGGGGGCGATTTCGGTGGTACTTTAGTGAGCAGAAAAATATCATAAGTTGCCTGAACAAATTTTGAGGAGAATTCAAACACACTTGATATGGCCCTGAATGTATATCAAAAGAAATGACCCACGTATACGACGCAGCTGGTCGCACCTGTTAAAATAGTTTCTTGATTCATGGTCGATTAGCAAACGCGGTGGCCCTTTCCCTCCTGGGCAGAGTGCTTAGTCGCGTGGGCGAATGCCACTCTGAATGCTAATGTCAATGAGACAATTGGCGGAGTGATTGCCACGTCAGTCAAAATCATGGGCAATGAAATTGGGGCAACTAGCGACTCAACTGTTTGCTACCAAGCCACTATCGCGACCACTACAACCATCTTAAGTGAACGCTGAGGCGTTCATTTTGATAGGTATGTAGTGGCATAGCATTCGCACCTCTTGAATGCCGATAAAACATTTGATTACGAATTCAACACCTCAGAGACCGAGTCTTTTTCTCTCAGACGGTTTTCTAGAACTCGTTCTTTCGCTTCTACCACCACTTCCGTTTGATTATCAATAGGCTTATATATCTAGTCAGAAGACGAAGATGCAATCACTGGAACAAGAAATCTATTGGCCCAAAGTTTCGGATTCTTACTTCAACTATATCTAGTGTTTGCGTAAAAAATATTTATGAGCCCATTTTGATCAATGCCAAACCACCATCAAACTTGTGGTGGATACGCTGAATGTCGCACCAGAACTATTTGATCATTAAACGTGAAATCATGTTCTACTGTTAGCACTCATAAATACTAAGATGTTCACAATTCTTGGTCATTGGTCGACGCACTGGGATGACTTTAGTGTAGCATGAACCCGTCCCTATTCCGTCACGCAATCAGAATGCACATACGAAAAGACATTTCATTTTTTGCAAATTGAACTTACGATATTCATATAAACCGGTGTGACAAATACGACAAATTCAACGATGCCAGAAATATACACACATATATATAAAAACAACTTATTTTGCATTTATCAAAAAGGGTACTCTAGTTCGTCTTTCACAAACCGTCCAGCAGTTTGCGATG